CCCATTATGTGTATTCAATTAAAATTTTATGTGTATTGTGTTATGAGTTTATGTGTATTATGTATTATGTTAGATTATGTGTATTCTGTTATGTGTATTATGTTATGAGTTTATGTGCATTCGGAACAAATGATTTTTTTTAATAACTTAACAAAACGACGTCGTTTTGGGAGGCGCGGGGCGTACAATTCTATGTGCGCCCTGGTGCACGGTATAACGATTGTATAATGGGAATAAAGGTTTTAAAAATACAAAAATAAAAAATCAAGGCAATTGATCCTAAATATAATGACATCCAAAGCACCTGAACAAAAAAAGCAAAACGAAAATCTAAAAGCATTAATCCAAACTTAAAAATCATATATTACCAATAATATGGAATGATACCTTTTTTAATTAGGGAATATTGTTTTTAATTGAAGGGGTAATCAAATCTCATAGTTGTCAACCAATTAAATACTAACAAATTAAACCCTTGCATGGCGTTTGGTTGAAGGGAATTTAAATTTCATTCCCACTTAATTCCCACCTAATTCCAAAGGCCATAAAATCCCCTTGTTTGGTTGAAAGGAATTGCAATTCCCCCATTTTCATGGAATTAAAATCCCATGTCCCCCAGGGATTTTAATTCTTGGGATTTTAAGAAGAAAAAAAGATAGTAATGAGTCAAAATTACCCCTTCATTTTTTAAGTTAAAATTAATGCCTAACAACAATCATGGACATTTTTGACTTTATACTACTTATTCCCTTCCAATTCTCATGTATACCAAACATTGGAATTGAAATTCCCAGTAATTCTATTCATGTAAATCAAACACTGAAATTTAAATTCCCACTTTATTCCCAGTAATTCATTTCCCATAGAATTGCAATTCCTTTCCCACGTAATCCCCCCTCTCCAACCAAATGCCCTGTTGACACTCACTCAGAAACATCTACTTCCTGATATGACAATTACATGTTTGAGTAGTTATTGCATGTAATATGATATTTTGTGATAGAACTAATTTCACTTTTGGTCCTACGACTTTAGAGGTTCTATCATTTTTGGTGCACAACTTTAAATTTTTTCAATTTTGGTGTCTAACTTTGTTATTTTTATCAATTTTGGTCCTTTCGACCAAATTGACTGCGAAATATTGCCGGATTTTACATTTTAGTGGCAAAATCGTCATCCCAAGGAAAGATATTCAATATCTAAACAAAAGAAAAATCATGTTAAGAGAAATATAAGAGTTTGGCAACTGTCGATGCTATAAATCTCATAGATCTGTGTCTAGTTTTTGTCCGTCTTCCCAATTATTCTCATCGATCAAACACCTATAGATATGATTTTAGAGTGATTTTGTTTAGATATTGAAGATGTTTCCTTGGGATGACGATTTTACCCCTAAAAATATAAAATCCGGCAATATTTCGTCGTCAATTTGGTTGAAAGGACCAAAATTGATAAAAACAACAAAGTTAGGCACCAAAATTGAAAATTTTTAAAGTTGTGCACCAAAAGTGATAGATCCTCTAAAGTCGTGGGACCAAAAGTGAAATTAATTCTTTTGTGATATTTGAAAGTAACTATTTGTGAATAACAACTATATATATTCTTCCCAAAAGGAGTATTTGGTAGGATGTAAATCCACTTTGAGAGATTGCTCTCACACTGTCGCTGGTGAAACTCGATCTCTGATCATTCTTCTTAAACTTCATCCCTATGACCAGTTGAGTTGCTTATGCGGGCAACAACTATATATATAGTTCTACATGGACTCTCAATATATATCTACTCCTTCACTTTTATTTTTTGACATGGTAAGAGATGATAAATTATCTTCATTCTGTGAGTTTTAGGAAAATTAACGAGTAAAAATAAGAAGTATAACTTGCTAAGTTCAGGTAGTATTTTTCTAACAACTATAAAAGTGCTTAGCATTTTCTAACAACAGATGGATTGCATTAGCCAAGTCAACCCACCACCAGAACTACCCCTACTCAAATCGTAGAATAAGGCGAGAATGGCTCTTACTTGTCTCCATTACAAGCAGAAAGTCCGCCAACTGATTTGATCATTTAAACAAACTGATCAAGGATCAATTTGGTAATTATGAATGACTAAATCGGTTACGAAATCATTAGTTGAGAATTTGATGGTCAAGAGACCAAGGTTCAAACCTTGGCGGCGGCAGTGTAAAAATTATGTCTAAAGTTGACAATTCTATGTGCGCACCAACATTTAGTTTTATCTGCTGAACTATTGAGTCACCGTCAGGTCGGAGTGTGGAGAGCCTTAGGTTAATTATGACAAAATTGATGAGTCACCGTCGGATCGGAGTGTGGAGGACCTTAGGTTAATTATGACAAAATTGATGGACCAAAATACCACCACAAATCACAAATGAACCGTGATTTACATGCTCTATCAGATCGAAATGTGGAGGTCCTTAGGTTAATTATGACAAAATTGATGGACCAAAATACCACCACAAATCACAGATGAATTTCATCACCCTGAACACCTAATATATGTTGAACTAATATTACAAGTTCCAAATTCCGAACAAATCATATGTTGTGGGATTATCCAAGCCAATATTGGATGAATTTCATCACCCTGAACACCTCATATATGTTGAACTAATATTACAAGTTCCAAATTCCGAACAAATCATATGTTGTGGGATTATCCAAGCCAATATTGACTTTGCAAGCTGATGTGACTTCAGCATTTTTTTTAATTAAGGCAGTGTTATTTTAATATGTTAGGCCCACGTTTGAAGGTTGATTAGATTTGTAGGGATGTAGTGTGAATAGTAGATAATTTGCAAATAAAATGACGTGAAAGTGAGACTCATTTTTTAGAATGGTAGAGATTTGCAGGGATAATGTTAGCTGATAATATGATTGATAACAAATCATTAGTAGTTACATCGTACATTTTTTTTTTCTTTTTCTTCCATCCCTTCAATAAATAGAGTATACACTCCTTTGACTTCTCAACATTTTCAGGCGAGCAAAGTAAGACTTTAGATGAGCATAGTAAGACTTTTTAGAGTAAGGCCAATAGTCAGTTTTTTTTTTTTTTTTTTTTTTTTTTGCAAGTTTTTTTGGGGCCGAGTAAGATTAAGAAAAATAGGTCAATAACTTGTAGTCTAGTGACAACAAATTGCTCTTTCATATGAAAAGTTGTGGGTTCGAGCCTTAATGAATGTGGTATTAGCTCTTTGTGTTTCAGTAGGTTGAGAAAATAGTTATAAATAGATACTGCATTCTAATAGTATAAGTAGTACTAAGAAAAACCCGCACGGGCTTAACTCAATGATTTAGTGGGCAATATTTGGAATATAAGAGACCAAGGTTCGAATCTCGGCGGCGACAGTGTGGAAATTATGTTCAAAGTGGGCAAATTACATCCTCCCACGTACCCATAGGATGTTTTTTTCTCCTAAGAGCATCCACATTAGGTGGGGAGAATTGAGGGATAATGTAAGAGTGATTAGGAGAGAGAATGTGGAAAGGAGAGAAAAAAAAACAAAAAAATCAAAATAAAAAAACAAAAGCAAAAAAAAAAATATAAAAAAAGAAATGTCAAGCACGTCAGCGCGCCCGTGTGGGCGGGCTGCTGTGCGCGAAACGCGCACAGCAGCCCCATGTTTCTTTTTTTTTTTTTTCTTCCTCTTTTTCTGCCATTATTTCTTATTTTGCAGATGAATTCTTCCCTTATTAATTCTCCTCCACATTAGATATAAACTTGAATGGAGTGAATTAATGCTGCATTTTCCCCACATTATCCACTAGTGTGGATGCTCTAATGAACCCACAAAAAACTTCATTTCCATGCTCCTCACTTTTCTCTCTCCTCTCATGTCATTCCTCTACCTCAACAATGACCCCACACAAAACTCACCAAAATCGATTGATGGTGATGCTCTTTAGGCTTTGTTTGACACTTAGTTGAAAAGTTAGTGGTTAATAAGTAAATTGAATGAAATTAAGATATTTGATAAAATTAGTTGTTAAATAAGCTATGGGGGCGTTTGGTTCAGGTTATATAAGATAACCAAAGTTCTTGGTAATATAACATTCCCATGTTTGGTTCAAATTATGTAACTTTTTCAGAAAATGTCTGATAACCTCTGCATTAAGTTTTTAGCTATTGGAAGAAAATGTGAGATACCTTCCAATTTCTTAGGTACTCTCACATTCCCTTGTCTTATTACTAATGTTGGGCTTTGGACGTTTTAATCAATTTATCTTATTATCTTTGTCTTATTTACATATCTTAGTTTTAAACCAAACACAGGAATTTAACATTCTCAACAATCTAACATTCCCTAAGGTAATCTAACATTCCGTGAACCAAACGTCCCCTAAGTGTAAAAAGATATAAGGGGTGTTTGGTAAATAGCTGTTAGCTAACTAGGTTAGTGAGTTTGACTAATTGATAGCATTAACTGATTGCCTGATTGTAGAAAAATGTTTGGTAAATTAGTTGTTAGCTGATTACATGCAAAATGACTTTCTCAAAAAACTGATTGAAAAACCACTTTAAGCAACCTTTTTAAATTTTAGCATTTTAAAGCAATAAGTTGTTACAAAAAGCTATTAATCAAACACTCATATTGATTGTTTAACCAAGTCAAACATACATAGTGATCAAATAAGCCAAAATTGGTTGATATGCTAACTATTTTACTAAACAGGCCATAAAATGATAAATTGAAATATTAAGATTTTAATTAATGAAGAATATATGATGTCATTTTTGTAAATTAATAAGGATAAAAAGGAAAAAAATATATATTAACATAAGTTATAGGCTCTTCCAAGCATTTGTGGGTAATTGATTAGTAGACTTATCACTTGTGTAAATTGTATAAGTTAAACCATTCCCTAAAACAAAGGTTTGCAGGTTTGCCCATTCAACCCACACATCACTCTCTTTTTGCTACTTTACTATTCTTCCATTAAAAGAAAGGTTCAATGCTAATTGGTAACTTGACTATATTCATTGAAAACATAGCTTGATGCCATACTTCAATTCAACTATGCCTTTCATGGAAATGATACATATCAAAGACTATGAAACATTAAAAATTGTGATGAATGAATGCAACAAGCAAACTCGCTCTAAGGAACACAAATCGTAGTACACAGCACAATGTAGAAGGTATAATTTAATGGTACACCCCAAAAAAATAGAAGAAAATGGAAGCAAGATCATCTCTTCAAGTGCAGTCAAGAAGACTATACCTTGACAGCTCTAAATGAAGGGTGAAGCAATCCAAGTTCATCTCTGATTTCCAGAGGAGTGGAAGTCTCATTTCTGATTCTCTTAACTCGCCGGCTTTCGAGAGTTGTGTGAGTGAATCCGTACATCTGCAGGATCTGGTTGTCCCCGAAGTTGAATGCGCGATCCATCTGCTTCACGCACCTCGCTACTTTGTAATCCCCAATCTTGGAGCAGGGCTTGCAACCCACAAAGTGAGTCACCAATGGCCACCTATGATCCCCGAATCCGGGGTGGAAATTGTCGATCATTTCTTCGTACCTATCCACCAGAATTCCCCAGTAACCGTGCAAGAAGTAAAGGTTCTCCAGATGCACCTTATCAGCCCACTTCTCTTGCTGGGTTGCCAAGAGATATACCATAGCAGATTGATCATCTGCTTCGAAAACAGGCCTGCCCTTGAGCTCACTGGTGAGTAATGCACCGGCATCGTCCCTGACCTTCCCTTTTGGCCCCATTGGAGCAAGGGCATCAAGAATATCCAATGACCATTGGGTATTTCTTAGCAGAAAGCTACCGGTGTTTAACCCAATCCAGTTCTTCTTCTCATAGACCTCATGGCCCCAACCGTGGAGCACAAGGTTAGAGTTCTTGTACCTCTCCCATGGCACCTCGAACGCCATATCTGTAAACATGGCATCACTATCCATCCACCATAGGAACTCAACTTCTGGATGGGAAAGCAGGAGCTTCCTCAGAAGTGGGAGCTTAGCCCAAAACCCTGACATTTCCGGGTCCAGCAAAGCCATATTGTAGAAAATCTCGATCCCGTGAACCCGGCAGTAATCAATCTTGTTCTTAATCGATTTCAACAGGTAATGATCTCCAATCGGGTTCTCACACGGTTTCGGGGACGACCCGGTGACCATCAAAACCCTAGGCTTATTAGGTCCGAAGAAATTGGGGAAATCTGGATTGTTCTTCAACCATTCACCCCTCTGCGCATCCCAATCGGTGATTTTCGGGCCGAGACTATACGGCTCGTTCGGATCTCTCTTGAAATCGGGCCCCCCGTCATCCTCATCAACTATAATCTTCGATAGATCGAATTCCTTGTAACTACGGCTATCTTCGGACCCGACACCCGACCCGGAATCAGTCGCGTTGACATCATCTCCGACGGTTAGGTTTACTTGCTCCGCTTCTTCTAGCACGCGGCGCGGCTCGGTCCGCTTGCGGTAGAAGCTCAAAGTGTCGGAGATGTCCTTGAGATCCTTCTCGGGAGTGCCGAATCTGCCGGCGCCGAGATTGCCACGTATGACGACGACGGTGAGGACGAGGCAAAGGAGAGTAAGCTTGCCATTACGGAGAATCCGCCGGACTTGCCATGCCCGCCTCGCACTCAAGAACCGATCTAGCATTATTGTCTCTTTTGTTCTGCTCCAAAATGCTCCGTTTGGATTGGAGCTGCAAAAGCTCGATGAATTTGAGGTTAGAGATCGCAGAGTGATTATGAAAGCTTGAGATATTCAGCAAACTGGCATTTGGAGATTCGTGGAAGATGATGGAGCTGTCGGTGGAGACTTGCAGAGAAGATGCAAGAAGGAAGAGAGTGTTCAGACAAGGGAAAGGGTCAATTCAATTGCCTCTCCTTTTCTATTTTCATCACATAAATACTAATTTAATTTTCCCTTATACTTATTAATTTGTTTTAATTAGTGAATGCTTAATAAATATTTTTGACCAATGACATAATATCACATATTTAATCTTTTTAATACTCATTTAAGGGAGAGCCTAGATGGTAGTACAACTGTACAAGGCAAGATAAACTGCTATTTTGTTTTCAAATTGGCAGCCGCGATGATGGTGAGAGTAACGATTTTCTTCCAAACATTATAGAGTTATACATAACCAAACATCAATATTAGTAACTATTCAAATTCCATCATACTACCAACCATGCAGAATACTTTCACCAAAACTCATTACTATTACTAAATATTTGATTCTCATTGCGATTCTGATGTCATGTGTGAACCAAACACACTCATAATTTAATCCATGATCTGAATTGAATGAAACAAATTGGGTCAGTCCATAGGTAACAATCTACGAAGATCTACCTAAGAGATGACATCAACAAAGATTAAAGGATTCGACCCGACAAGAAGTGTAAAGATGAAGATGTTGTCGGAATGCCAGAAGATGCCTCATTTATGACAATGACAATCACATTTGTATAGTTTTGGCGGGGAGGAGGGGTTGGGAAAAGTGGAGAGCTATACACCTTTATTGTGAATTGGTTACTTGTCCATGACAATTCAATTGTTAATAACAAGTTATAAGTACGTAGATCAGTAGCATTAGTAAGAGATGACTTTCAACTCGATTATTATAATTTTATTTTTCATTAATTTGTTTTATGATTGAATTACATATCCTCAAGTTGAAAATTTGAAATGTCAAGTATAATGGTAAGTTAAATGTATTGGAATCTTTAAAGCTGCTCTTTCATATAAATGCAATAACAATTATATTTTAATAATCAAAATATCCTATATCTATTATGAGAAAAAACAAAGGAACAAGTTTTTGGGTGCACTTATTAGGGGTATAATATTTTAGAGAGGATTGAAGTAGTTTACTACTCCGTATTTTATATACCCAGTAATTGGGTAGCTTGTCAATGTCCAAACTTCATCATTTTCATCAAAGAAACAATACATGTTGCCATGTTGTGACCGAAACGATTGTCGAAAAGTACACTTAATAAAAGCATTTATTATTTTTAATTAATTAGAAACTTTAGAATAAACTAGTTAGATTTAGCGCACCTCAATTTGTATATTTTGATTACAATTAAAGTTTAACCACACTCTATTAAAAAGTTACGTCTCTACCAACCATTATTTATGAATCATTTGAAAAGATTTTATTAACGAATTGAAATTTTAAACAATTTAAGAATCGAATTGGTTGAAATTTAGGTACTAAATTGACAGTTGAGAAACAATTAAGGGATCAAAATGTTGATTAACTCTAATTTCACATATTATGATGTTCTAGTATAATTTTAAAACTAAATATATTGTATTTATGTTACAAATCAACTTATATTTAACTTAATCTTCTATTTATTATTATTATTTTTGAAGTGATGAGGAAAATTCATAAACTGCAACTACTACCCAAGAACATACACTATGTAAACATGTCTTATGACTCTAGTCGGTAAAAGACCCCACCTTATCTTTTAATGTTTACGCCCTAATATGATAATAAAAAATATTTTTATTTATTAGTTAATGTAAATTTGTACTCGTCCAATGTTAAAAAAAAAAAATTGTTTATTAATTAAATATAAAAATCAATTAAATATTATCATGGAAGGAATTGAAATAACATATACGGAGTATTTTGTATTATTTTTAATTAGTGAAATACGCGGCAGTTTTCTTAAAACAAATGGCTTTATTAATTAACGGAAGCTCACGTCGTAAAGTAGGAACAGTAGGTGAGGGTTTGACCTTCCTTAGGTAAAATTAGATCTGGAGAATACGGTGCTGTCCGTCATAAGAACGAAGACGCGGCCGTGAAGTACTTATATTAAATATAAAAATTAGAGGATTATTATATATTAAATAAAATTAGAGGATTATTATAAGGTAGAGAATGTTCAATTATTGCTACCCTGCAGGATACAGCTGTACATAAGAGAAAATTAAGTTATTGCGTGCTCGTTTACCCATTACCCATTAATTAAGAAAATAAATGACCAAAATGTAGCTTTTATTATGTTCTAATCCTACAATTAATTTTTGAGTTAATACCTAAAATGGTCCCTCGATTATGCCATAATTATTAATTTGGTCCTCAACTACCATTCTTACCCAATTAAGTCCTCAATTATGTAACTTTTACTCAATTAAGTCCTCAACTATACAATTTTTACCCAATTTAGTCCTCAACTATACAATTCTTACCCAATTTAATCTTCTGTATTAATTTGATTGTTTGTTGACTGTCAAAAGTCGGGATAAAATTATAATTTTACAAGATTTCTCCTTCCTCTCCATTTAGCAGCGCCAAACCATGCAGCAATACACTTCGATCATATTTCGATCGTCAAAAAATCGTTGGAAATCAAATTCATGGGCTATCCGATGCATAACCACTACTTCGATACTGACAGGTTTAGAACCCAACCGGAGCTTATTGCTACATGGTTTGGCGCTGCTAAATGAGGAGGAAGGAGAAAACTTGTAAAATTACAACTTTATTTCCACTTTTGACAGTCAACAAACAGTCAAATTGACAAAGGACTAAATTGGGTAAAAATTGTATAGTTGAGGACTTAATTGGATAAGAATGATAGTCGAGGACCAAATTGGTAATTATGACATAATCGAGGGACTATTTTGGGTATTAACTCTTAATTTTTCTCATATTCTTACCATCCCCCCTCCCCCCACCACCCTTGTTTTCTTTTTGAATTTAAACATGAGAAAATGACACTTTTTCTCCCTAAGTTATATACTTATAACACTTTTTCCCCCTCGATTATTTAAGTGGCTATTTTCCCCCCTGAAATGTTAAATGGACATATTTACCCTTAAAATAAATATTTCATTTATTTTTATTCTCCAACAAATTATTACTATAATTTGGTTCAGACCAAACAGATACTATAGCAACCAAACCAAAATATTCCAATTACAATTTATAATTAAAACGCGATATTTAGAGTTTATTAAAATCGCGAACCGGAATGACCGGTTCATGTTCCGAACTGAAAAAATAAAATACATTTATTGTTGAATTTAGACTATTTTAAAATAAAAAATAAAATTTTAAAATAAAGACGGTTCAAAATCGCGAACTAGATCCGGAACCGCTAGTTCACGGTTCATGATTCAGTTTTTTTTTTTTTTTTTATTCTTAAATTTAATAAATTGAAATCCAAATATTGGGTTCTAGATCTGAATCATAACTGAAAATATTTAATTCGATTGTTATAGTGTCTAGTTCAGTTCAAACCGAACCGTGGTAATCGCTACATATACGCAATAATTTGTTGGAAAAGTAAAATAAATAAAATGTTTACTTTAAGGGTAGAAATGTCAATTTAATATATTTGGGGGAAAAACCACCACTTTTAAAATAATTGAGGGGGCTAATATACTTACATAAATAATTGAGGGAGGAAAAGTGCTATAACTATATAACTTAGGGGGAAAAAGTGTCATTTTCCCTTTAAACATCCTCAAACTTTTTGTTTCCAGTTTAATATTTAATGACAACTTTATTAAGAAAAAATAGTTAATATCAGCTAAGGTCTCTCAAGTAGAGTTGTATCGCTGTCTATGGTCCTAAACTTTCAAATTAATCATTCGTGATCCTTCAATTTTCAAAAATGACCTGTAATAATCTAATGATTAGTAGTTCCCCGCAAATTATGCCATGGAATCGTGTTCACCGAGAATGGTGAACACAAGGCAAAACGACGTCGTTTTTAGGTTAAAAAAAAAATCGCGGATGTGGAGTTAACGGCGCGCGTTTAATCAAATTATGAACTTTCTGTTATGAGATTATGAATTTTCATAAAATTCATAATCTCATAACAGAAAATTCATAATATAACAGAAAATTCATAATCTCACAACTGAAAATTCATAATCTCATAACAGAAAATTCATAATCTTATAACAGAAAATTCATAATCTCATGGTTCCAAAGTGAATGTGTAGGCATGGTTCCAAAGTGAATGTGCAGGCATGGATTCATAATTTATGAATGTCCGTGATTTCGGACGAGAATATGTAGGCATGGTTCCAAAGTGAATGTGCAGGCATGAATTCATAATTTATGAATGTCCGAAATTATGAATGTAATGAAAATTCATAATCTCATAACAGAAAATTCATAATCGCATAACAGAAAATTCATAATCTCATAACTGAAAATTCATAATCTAATAACAGAAAATTCATAATCTTATAACAGAAAATTCATAATCTCATGGTTCCAAAGTGAATGTGTAGGCATGGTTCCAAAGTGAATGTGCAGGCATGGATTCATAATTTATGAATGTCCGTGATTTCGGACGGGAATGTGTAGGCATGGTTCCAAAGTGAATGTGCAGGCATGAATTCATAATTTATGAATGTCCGAAATCTTTGTTCACCTCAAATTAAAATGAAATCGTAAAATGTGAAAATAAAGAAGAAAAGTCACGCAATTAATTAAGAAAAAAAAAAAAGATAACGATGTATTAACACCGTTGGAACCGTGTTCACCATGAATGGTAAACACGGTTCCATGGCATAACGTCCCGTAGTTCCCGTATTAGACCATGAAATGCAAATAATATAAACGACATTTAACAATCTCACCCAAAATAAATCATTTTCCATTATATATATACCAAAAAAAAGTAAAAATAAAAATACAACTTCGCTCAATTCTCACCCAAATTCGCAACCCTAACCTCTGTGTCCTATTCAATGGAATAATCCAATGTTTACCCTAAATTCGCACAAACGATAGAAATTGATTTCATATTTTCTCAATCCAAATTCCCGTTCTCAACCCTAATATATATAAGTTTTTGTACATTTGATATCTGAACCAATAACCTATTA